AGTAATTGCCTTAATGGTAGTGATGCTATAGCCTTCTTTATTTCATGCAGACTTGCAGCCAGGCTGGCTATACTATGCATACAATAAAGAGAAAATGATTATTACCTCTACTTTCCCTTTTTGACAGGTTATACTACTAGTAACATTTACAGAAATTTGTGCCTTTGCTGTTATAATACTAAGATTTAGTCACTTTTTGTATTTAAGTTCTTATCATCATTTGGACACTGGTATTGTATGTTTGTTAGACTTACCCACACTTTGTGTAGGAGTACGAAGCCTTTGGACTTCATCCAGTCATTACCGGGGTATTTTCATAGTAGACATGACTGAAATATTAGTAAGACTAATTAACCTCTTGTGGCGTACTTTTTATTAGCCATATTTATCATGAGTTCTGTGGGCTGCATATACTTCTGTGCATTTCATAACTAGATACATTTGTCATTATCACACAAAATAATGAAATTTTATCATTATCAAAAGAGTTTTCTATACAAACACTTTTGTGTTCATAATTCATTGTTCTTTTTATTACTTGGTACACACAACACAAGTAATGATCCTGTTAGCAACATAAGGTGGACAGGGTAGACCAGTACAGGTTGTTATTGTGAAATAGAACAAAGCACCATTAACACTACTGTGACTACCAGCAATGGATTCTGGAGCCTCATCAACACACTCATAGACAGCATTCCTAGCATGAGTATGTCTCTCAGCCATCAGGTATCCTTTATATTCTCTAGTCCATGATGAAGGACAGCTGGTTCTAGCAGGAATCCTGCACAAGGAACATTGTGATCATGCTTTCCTGGAAATATACCATTAACATCTTGATATTCAGAACCATACATTAGAGAATAATAAGTAGGTACATGTGTACTCATATATTGTGGAACATTTGGTAAACAGACGTAGTTAGCTCCTCCTCCTGATTGCAAATGGTCACTCCCTCCAGCTATTCCCTCATACAGTAGTTCAGCTCCAGTAGGACAGGACTTCCTTCCCCAACGAGTGTACACTACTCCTCCACTTTTAGTGCTAGTTGCTCCAGTTTCTCCTTTTTCTCCTTTCTCTCCTTTCTCTCCCTTATCTCCTCTCTTCTTTCACTCCATCTCTTCCTGGTACTCCATCACGACCATCTCTACCACGTAATATTTGAAGATATACTGATCTTACCAGAGTATCATTAACCTTCTCTTCAGTAATTAGAGATGATCCTGCACATATGACATCATGAATCATAGCAAACTAACATATAATACTTTACCTCCAGTAGAATGAGTAGATCCTAATGCACTGATGGCTGCCACCACTAGGAGAGCAAACATTGTTAGTACTTGCATTTTAACAAGCTGCACTTTATTGAAGAGTTCAGTATTGCAGTGTCTTTTCTGTTCTCACTCTCTTTTATAGCATTATGCATGTAGACATTAGTCTGTGTGTTCTTTTGGGAAATAATTTTCTTCTGCAATCATTCTCATTGTAATTCTTCTCCCACTTTGTTATTAAATCCATGGGATGTATGTGTTTGTAAAACTAAAAGCTAACACTATCTTGCCTCCTCCTTGTTGTTTTTTGCATACGTGAGGGATTGTTTTAGTAATTGTCGTAATAGTAGTAATGCTATAGGCTAAACCTTCTTTATTTCATGCAGAGTTACAATAAAAAATAATTTTTATACCTACATGTACTTATCCATATAGCATTTACAGAAATTTGCACCTTTGCTGTTAAGATTGCTATTAGATTAGGATTTTTTTACTTTTGTATTCAAGTTTTTCCATCCTTTTTATGCTATTTTATTGTACTATAAATCTCTTTCCTACACTGTTGGACTCACCCACATTTTGTTTAGCACTTGCATGGGCTTCATGATGTGAATGAACTCCGGTCAATCTTGTGGCATTCTTGTATTATCAGTAGTATATGTACTGTGCATGTATCAATTTGCTGACTGGAATTTATACAAGATATTTTACCAAAAAACAGTATAATTATTGTCACATTTAAGTTCATTGTTCTTCATTACTTGGTACACACAACACAGGTAATGACCCTGTTAACAACATAAGGTGGACAGGGTAGACCATTACAGGTTGTTCTTATGAAATAGAACAAAGCACCCTCAACATTAGTGTGACTACCAGCAATGGATTCTGGAGCCTCATCAACACACTCATAAACAGCATTCTTAGGATGGTTGTAGTGCTCAGCCATCAGGTATCCTTTATATTCTCTAGTCCATGATGAAGGACAGCTGGTTCTAGCAGGAATCATCAGTTTAACACTCTTAGTAGATGTATAACATACTGCACAAGGAGCATTATGATCATGCTTTCCTGGAAATATACCATTAACATTTTGATATTCAGAACCATACATTAGAGAATAATGGGAAGGCACATGTGTACTTATATATTGAGGGACCTTTGGTAAACAGACATAGTTAGCTCCTCCTCCTTTATGACTGTAAGGACTACCTCCAGTTATTCCCTCATACAATAGTTCAGCTCCAGCAGGACAGGACTTCCTTCCCCAACGAGTGTACACTACTCCTCCACTTTTAGTGCTAGTTGCTCCAGTTTCTCCTTTTTCTCCTTTCTCTCCTTTCTCTCCCTTATCTCCTCTCTCTCCTTTCACTCCATCTCTTCCTGGTAGTCCATCACGGCCATCTCTACCACGTAATATTTGAAGATATACTGATCTTACCAGAGTATCATTAATCTTCTCTTCAGTAATTAGAGAAGGCAATCCTCCTACAGAAACTACATAAAATAATCATAGTTTCATTGTTCATATTTACCTTTATTAGTTGCTGCTGTACTTATTGTTGCAGCCACTAAAAGAACAGTCAAAGCTAGTACTTGCATTATTTGATAAATGACAAGATATTCTATTGTAATGGATCACTCCAGCCTCTATTTATATCATTTTAGACTAACCATCAAAGTCTGTAGCTAAGTTTTGAAGATCCTTCAAAGAGAGACTATCCAAGCTTTCTCATCTTTGATAGTATGGTGTTCCTCACTCTTGAAGTTCTTCTGGTTGCAGTTCCCTCCATCTTGTAGGCCAGTGTATGGTTAGGTTCTTC